AAGATTTAGAGTTATACCCTTTGAAAAAAATGTTTGTCTAGACTCCTCCTAGACCCTTTGATCTCCTTCTTCTTCTTCTATGGTTTGTAGTGGCTCAAGATTGGGAGAGTAGGAGAAAATATTTGAGAAAGAGTGGAGGAGTATGGTATGGCCGGATTTTAAGGGGGAGAGAAAAGCTAGGAAAAAAAATGAGGCTTATCCTATGGTGGTTCCTTTTATAGGCACTTGGAAATTATTTTTTTAACACCACATCAACTCTCTCAATCAACCAAATTTTGGTTCAATTTCCCCCAATCTTGGCCGGTTATGGAAGGAGAAAAGGAGAAGCCAAAATTGCCATTAATTCCCCTTCAACCACTACCATCCCATCACCTTAACTTGTAGCCTTCTAACATACTCAACATATAACCAAAATTTTTGGATATAAATTCCTAAGGATGGCCGGCCAAGTGAAGAGAAAAAAGGAGAAAAAAACTAATCATTAGTCCTATTCACCTCTCTCATCACATCTCATCTAATCACACATACTAACCTACACCTTATACTTTTGTCCATTCCCTTAAGTTACTCATTAAAACTGTCCAAAATTATACTGACAGTTATTTTCTCTTGTATACGGGTTCTGGATGCTAGGTTGTACTGTGCTGGGAGATTCTTAAAATTAAGATTCTCTAACTGTATCTATACTGGAAATTCTTCCGTTTTAAAGTACGGTGAGAATTTATCGATCGAATTTACTTGATCGGAAAAATGTGAACTTAACGTGAAATCTGCTACAGAATTTAGGAATGCAGATGTTAATTCCATAAATCCTTCAATCACAAAATGTACATAGTATAATGATTTTCCAGGAAAATCCTTGACTCAAATACATGAATTACATTATTAAAATTCTGAGATTTTCTTAGTCACTACACATCCAAACACAAACTCAAGTTATAACTCAAACTCAACTCAAGATCATCACTCAAGTTATCCTAACTCAAAAATGCAAAAGAACAACCCCTTAACTTTTCAAAAAAAAATCATCTATAAAAGAAACACTCCTTGATCGAAACTAATTACATTAACATTGACATCTCTGTTGATAACTCTATGAAATTGAGTTATTTTACCAATTTTTTGTGCATGTAAATTTGCTAGGTCTTGAGATTTTAAATATTTTTAGTCTAGTTTTGTGTAATTTTAATTTAGTTCATGTTAGTTTAATTTTATTGTAATTTATTTTATTATAGTGCAAGTTTAATTCATTTTGCTTAGTTTGATTTTAATTTTATTTTGTTGTTATTTAGTTTCCCTTCCTAAATAATTATTTTCTCAATTGTATAAATTTAAGTGATGTTTGGTAAGCAGATTCTGTTGTCCCGAATAAGGCTACCCAAGAGGGGGGGTGAATTGGGTTTTGAATATTTTTCTAGAGTTTATACGATTCTTCAAAGATTAAAACTAAATATAGACAATTAATTGAACAAAGAACTTTTAACAAACACTTGGTGTACAGAAAATTATGTAAGTTAATGCAATAGCTCAACCACTTGATTTACACAGAATAGACCAATCTAATATGATAAAAAGAGTTCAATAAATTTATCACGATGAGTTAAGACAATCAATGTCAGCAATTAAATTTGAAGTGCGGAAATTAAAGAGATAGAGTTAGAGAGATGCAAACGAGATTTATAGTGGTTCGACAAATGAATTTGCCTACATCCACTGTCGCCGAGATATTCCGCCTCTCGACCTCTTTCACTATTCAATCGTCTTTCCGGCACGATCACTCCTCTTACAAGAAGGCGAATCTTTCTACCCGAGGCTTCGCCTAACCTCTTACACAATGTCGATTTTTCACGGAGATCGACCAACCAAGTAACCCAATACCAAAGTAATGATTATGAGTAATGAAGCACTTAGTTTCACTCTCCTAACAAAGGTTTTACACAATTTGAAATCACTAGGAGATGATGAACTCACACTATCACAAGATAAGTCAAGGTAGGCTCAAATATGTGTGAGAGAGTTAAGGATTTAGAGAAGATGATGATTATGTGGACACAAAGGAGAACTCTCTTTTTGATTTTTGAAACTTTGAACTCGTTCTCTGTTTTTCACAAGGATCACTTTTGAGAATAATGGCTTTTCTCTATTTAAACTCTTTTGCCAACGGTCATATTTTTGCCCGTTTACCCAGTACCGGTCGACCGGAGCGGTTGACCGGTTGATACAAATTTGAATTCGTGCTGTTCAACATTCTTACGGAGTGTCTGTTGAACAGAACCGATCGACCGGAGCGGTTGACCGGTTGAGGCATCACCGGTCGACCGGTGCATTTAGCCTTCTCTGTCACCGGACGACGTAGGTCGACCGGATGATACTTAATTTGCCTCAAATCTTCACACATTTGTACTTTTAGGCCAAATGTCATTATGCACTAAGTTTAGTCTCATTTTTAAAGAATAATGTGAGTGTGTGCATGAGCCAAAACAAAAATTAATCATGATAGTATGAAGTCAAAATCAAATACACGACTAAGGAGATATTAAAAAACCTATTAGTACTTGTCAAGCTTAATTTTGTTTGCTTGCCCTTGATCTTTGGTATTTTAGCACTTCAAGTCTTGAATTCCTTCTTCAATTTGCATTTGTCAATCTTGAATGTATTTGCATTGTATTCCGCAAAATGCTTCTTGAGTTGATTTATAACAATAATTACGCTAAATACACAACTCAAAATAGAATCATTAGAGACATAATACATTGTGTTTGTGATCATCAAAACATGAGAATATTCAACCTTGAACTAACAAATTCGTACCCTAATTTAAATCATAATTCATTATAATATTTTTTCTTATAAAAAATACACATAAATAAAAAATGATTCTAATCTCAACCAAACGTAATATTGGTGATCGGGGTTAAAAAAGGTGTTATTTTGGAGAAAAGTCAGGGCGAAATTATAAAGAAAAAAGTCCTAAAATTCAAATTGGAATTCGGCCCTAGCTAGACCGAATCACGCGATGCCACATGGCTGGCTCCACTTAAATGCGCTCCAGCTGGCTGAACGGAAGAGGAAAGAACAGAAAAAGAAAAAGAAAAAACGAAAAAGTAGAGAGCAGAGCCGTGCGTTTAGGAAGCAAGGCAATTGGTGCATTCATTACTCATCAGCCCATTCCTCATTTTCCCACAACCACTTCTGCTTTTTCTCTCCCCAACTCCAGTGTTGTTTCTTTCCGAATACTTCCACGCTTTCTCTGCCAAAACATCTTAAACCCTAGAAACGCTTCCTAGTTTCCGTTTCAGTTTCCAGATCTGAACCGTTTTCCAGGTAACAATTTTCCCCTTATTTTCTCCCTCTCCGTCGCGTTTGAATTTCGCAATCACATTTTGCCGTTTCTGCTTCAGGAAGTTCCGTTCAAGCTCGAATTTTCCGTCGAACGAACCTGCATTTTGCGGTAGATCCGAATCTGAGTATGATCTTTCTGGTTGAGGAATTCGTGTTGAAGTTGTGAAAAACTTCGGATTGGTGAGTTGCTGTGAATTTTTCTATTTTTATTTTGGGTTTTTCTCGGAAAGAAATGGTTATGATTTTGTCAAATGTTGTTGAAAATTGGTAATACTTGGAATGGTACTTTTGTCTGCTTCTAAGAGATAATCTCTTTGTATATTTTTGCTGTGTTTAGAATTGTTTTTTTTTTTTATATTTTTTGAGAAAAAAAAAATAAAAATATTTTTAAAACGGTATTATAAAAAACGAAAATAAAAATGAGTTTTTAATTTAGTATAAAATAAATAATAAATAAAAAATAATTTTTAATTATTTTTTTTTATTTTTATTTTTTTCTCATATTAATGAGTTTTTTTATATTAAAAATAATCTCTTAAAAAATACATTTTTAAAAATAATTTCTGTTTAATATTGAAAATGTTTTTTTTTCATACAAAAAATAAAATTATTTTGAAACGAGTTCTAAACGCACTCTTTATTTCTTGTTTTTTTGTCTCTTGTCTTAGTTTCTCCCAGTTGCTCAGAACAAGTTAAAGTCTCTTTCAATGGCAAGTCAACCACGGTTGCAGGTCTATTTGATTCTTTAGTTGTTGAAATCTTTGTTTTTCGTCTGCTCAATGAATTACCTTTGAACTTTTAAATCACGTAATGCAGGTATTAGCTGCTAGAAAAAATAAAATTTCAACACTAAAGGGTTTCCCTTATTTACCAGTCCTTGAGGTCAGCATTCTTGTGCTAAAACTTCCTTCATGTTCATTGATCTAGATCTGAGTCGTTTGGTCAAAGATTATTATTTTGTTACTCCAAGAATAAATATAAGATGACATATTGAAAATTATACCAAATATTCATTCCTTTAAACACTGTAGCATTTGCGAGTTGAGGAGAATCCAATCCTTAAAATGCCTCATTTAGAAGTAGCTTCTATTTTGCTTGTTGGTCCGACGTTGAAAAAGTTCAATGATAGAGGTGTGTTGAGGTAATTGTATTTTTTGTTTTGGCATCTTGATCGTGTTCTTTCTTCTCTCTTTTTCTTATCTATTGCCCTCTCTCTCTTAACAATTCCATGAATTAGCAGAATATTGTTTGTCTTATTTATAGTTCTTCCTTTTCTTCCGTTTGTTCTGGTGGACTCCTTGAATTGCCCTCTCTGTAATGAGCTTGTCAATTTATGTTGTCTCCTGCTCTCAAATATCTTAACATATTTTAGAATAACTAGTTTAGGTACGTGCGGATGTACGTATTGAGGTGTTATTGAAATTTTTATAACGTAAAATATGAACATTTTGTAGAAAAAATTAAAAAATAAAAATTACTAAAATTTTTTAAAAAAAGTATATGAATTGTAGTTTAAGTGAAAGCATATATGATTAAATACATGAAACATGGTAAATGAGTTGAAACTTTAAAAGAAAAACGAAAAAGAAGTAAGCACTTACAACTCACCGTTTTGGACTATCATGTAATGAAAGTTACTTGTATTAATAGAAAAGATAAAGAAGTTAAAACTTAGGGAAAAAAAAGTAAATAACACCTAAAAATCACAATTTTAAACTATCATAAAATGTTCAGTAGCCACATATAACAAAATAGTAATAATAAAAGAATTGAAATTTAAAAGGGAGAGGAAAAAATAAAGCATGTATAACTGTAGTATTTGAGAGAATGAGTTGCTCTATGATTTTCTATTATTTTAGAGTGGAAGAATACAAAGAATATATACAGAGGAACTTTCCTTAAGTGTAAAGATCCTAGGCTAGAGTAAACAAGAAAACAATCTTTTTGAATAATGGCATCATTCTTTGCCATGTACTCCTTCAGCAAGTGCTCAATCGATGTCGTTCTGCCGGTTGATGTCTCGGTTGTTGTGGAAATCTTGGAGGATGTCGAGGGCGGTTTGCTGTTGATGATGATGCTGCGTTCTGCCCTTGAGAATTCCAAGAAAAATTTGGGTTGCCTCCAACCTGGATTATAAGTATTGGAATACGGATTGTTGTTTTTGTTGAAGTTAGCATGCTGATTCTAGGTTGGATTGACAACTATCAAAGAGATGCTCTTTATCACAGTAAGTACAAGAGACCACTGTAAATTGAGGAGAATTCACCTCCTGATTCATTGATTTCAATATACTTGCCAATGATGACACTTGAGAGGTTAAAGCTATCACCGCATTCACTTCGTGAACTCTTGCTACTCATAGCTGCAGCTGCTCACGCCGCAGGCCATTGATAGTTGTTATTAGCCATCCGTTCTAAAATCTCATAAGTCTTATTGTAAGTCTTTGCCAAAATAGCACCATTGGCTGAAGCATCTACTATGATTCGAGTTTGCCCATTAAGTCCATTGTAGAATGTCTCCATCTGAATCCAATGAGGAATCCCATGGTGAGGGCATTTGCGCAACAATTCCTTAAACCTCTCTCATGCCTCATACAAAGATTTCCCCTTATGTTGTTGAAATCTGGTGATGTCATTTCTAAACTTGACATTCTTAGTTGGAGGAAAATACTTCATCATAAACTTCTCTGCCAATTCATATCAAGTTGCCACAAAGTCCGGTGGTAGAGAGTTTAGCCATGCCCTAGCTTTATCCCTCAAGGAATAAGGGAAGAGCTTTAGTTTCAAAGCTTCTTCTGTAACCCCTGGAAGCTTAAAAGTATCACAGACTTCCATGAACAGCCAGAGATGCAAGTGGGGTTCTTCAATTGCCATGCCACTAAATTGGTCCACTGTTTGCAACATTTGAAACATGACCGGTTTAAGCTCAAATTGAAGCGCCTTATCTCCGGCCTAATGATACTCGGGTTGAGCCCATGTAAAATCGGTACGGCATATTCTCTGATGACCCTATCTCTGTCATCTACCATGACTGCCTGGTTAATTGTTAACATTTATGGGTTGCCCAAGGTTGGCTGCATTGCCGGCAGCTTCCTCTGTCATTCCTTCAATAACTGCTAAGCCTTGTTGCTCCTTTCTCTTTGCTAGGAACGTTCTTTCAATTTCTGGATCCAAAGGCAGCAAATTACGGTCTTGTTGTCGATTCATGCGAGAAGAAGAGTATCTGAAATAGAAGAAAACAAAATTGTCAAGTAAAATAACGGAAACACTTGAATTTTACAAAGATCAATAATGATAACGCTTCCCCGGCAACGGCGCCAAAAGTTTGGTGTAAAATTCACTATGCAAGTGCATGTGTCGAACAAGTAATAAAGTGAATTAGTAGAGTATTATTCCCACGGAAAAAGTTACTAATATTTTTCCTAATAAAATCTAAGAGATGCAATGTAAATAAATTTAGGGGTGCACCAGAGCTCAGCTTTAGTATGCTTCCTAGTTATTTGCACATGCTGAAGGTAATGAATCCCGACACAATCACACATTTGGTGGTTGATAGAGATCAAAAGTTTAAGTACCCTTTCATTACTTTGGGGACATCTATTAAGGGTTTCAAGGTAATGAGAAAGATAACTACAGTTGATGGGACATTTTTAAAGACCAAAATATAAGTGAACATTGATTATATCCACTGCCCAAGATGGCAACTACCATCAGTATCTTCTTGCTTGGGTAGTGGTTGACTCGGAGAATGATGAATCGTAGAAATGGTTCATGATAAAACTTGAGATTTCATTTTCCGACTATTCTTACCAACCCAATCTGAACGGTTAGAAACACTCTTAAATTAGGATTCCATTTTCCGACCGTTCTTACCAACTCAATCCGAACGGTTAGTAACACATTTAAATTGAGATTCATTTTCTAACTGTTCTTACCAACCCAATCCGAACGGTAAGAAACTCTTAAATTGAGATTTTATTTTCCGATCGTTCTTATCAACCCAATTCGGGCACCTTGACATGAGTTTAATGGTATTATGGATGTTGCGATGTCGTGAGGTCGTGACGGGAAAGGAAGAAGAAATGTGGTTTGTATTGAATGGCGTACCTATCCGGTACTCCTTAATGGAACATGCATTGATAAGTGAACTCAATTGTGCCACTTATCCTCACGAGTGGTAAACAATATGGAGTGACAATTTTAAAAGTATACCCTTTTCGGAGCAGACAAAGATTACAATAAATGACATGGAAGTAAAGTTGAAAAGCATGGTGATCCCACCAGGGGAAGGTCCTCGCAACAGGAGGAGACGAGTTGATAGAGATAGATCAATCCTCATAGAAGACAAGTTGAAGATGGCGGTATTATATTTCTTATGCTCGATCTTGGTGAGCAATGAAAAGAATGGCACAAGCATTGATCAAAAATGCCTTGTAATTGTTGACAACCTAGAGGCTTGTCATGACTTTCCATGGGGGGACGATCATTTAATTATTTGTTATCTCATATCAATAAGTTGGACTTGTTGAAAAAATCGTCAAATATTTTTGACAAAAAAGAGGGTCAACAAAGGTAGGGTTGTCTTGAATTCATTCTGCCACTAATGGTGAGTAAAATTTACTTAAATGTATAAATTTTACTTTTTATATGCTTTTGAGGTTGTCACATGAATTGAGATTGTTTATATGTGTAGTTACCGTTCGAGTCTATCTCGGCCTTTTCACCAGAGTTTGCACGGTTAAAGGACGATATCACTAGACTAGTGCCTAGAATTTATCGATGGATATCCAAGTACAAGAAAAAATAGGCATCAAAATTAGAGCACATTATGCTAGTGCTAAAAGATACGAAGGTAATGATCGCACATATTAGTTTAATTTAATTTACTATGTACACAATTGTTGTTGATTTTAAGTTCTTAAATTGCAGGAAACAAAAAGCATCATTGTGCCGAGCACAGAGGAGTTGTATGCTGCGCACATGCATAACTTTGTTGCTGACGTGGAACCCCCAAACGCAATTGTCGACAAGTGGATGAACCTCATACTATCTGGTAGCAATATATTCTTTGAGGACATATGGCGTAATGATGTGGTAAGTCATCGTTCATTTTTTCGTGATAGTGGTTATGATGAAGAAAGCCGTCTAGGAGACGAAGATGGTGGTCAAGATCCTAGTCTCTGCAGATAATACAATAACACCTCCGCCAACTGCAACAATTAGAGAATGTATCAGGATGATGTGTGAGCTCAAGGACCGTGTTGATCATAAGGTGGAGGTGATATACATGAAATTAGCTTCACTAACAGAAGTCGTTGTGGACTTGGCTTCTTGTGTGTCGATGTAGAATTCTGTTCATGAAGAACGTGGAGAGTATAAAGACATTAGTCAAAGAGAGGTTTTCATTGGTGCTTGTGAAGGCGACGACCGAAATGATGATATTGGTGGTCAGATTAGAATTCAACACAATGAAGTGGGTGATGATTGTGGATCTACTGCTCAGGGAGATAATGGTCTCGTTCACTTCACTGATTCGAGTTTTCAGTTTTAGGTTTCTACAGTAAAAAGCTCTCAGAAAATGTCACATCTAATTTTTTTGTTACAGTAAAAGGCTCTCATAAAATGTCACATCTCAACTCGAATTGAAAACTCGAATTCACGAAGTGAATTAGGCTAATATGTTTTATGATTCCTCGACCGCATTGAGACATGATGACTCCAATCATCACAAAATCGACTAAAATGCCGAGGCCGAGCAACTTGATGAACGACCGAAAAGGCAATCAAAGCGGTCAAAGTACAAGAGAATTTCTTTTACAGATCCTCAAAGTACAATTGAAGCCCACGGCCATCTATGAGTAGATAGTTTTTGTGAATTGTATTTAACATT